ACCAAGCTTGACCCTGCTTAGCTCCTGAGCCCAGACTGGCTCAGCCAGACCCCCTGAGGCCACGTTCAGTTTTACAGTTTCCCCATGCATAGCTAATATAGCACAGGAGTGTAGGCTACAAAACAAAATGTTATTCACACTTTAACCTCCCCTTATTATGTGAATAATTTTCTGCTCTTTCAGTGAGAGATATGATATCCAGACCCCCAATTATGGAATAATGTTCAGCATTTACAATGATCGGGAAAATATCCATTTTTCTTGAAACACCTTTTCACTGTGGATATATTTATGCAGATACCAGTTAAGAAATTAACGGTCAAATCCTTTTATCTGTGAGATGCCATCTTCTTTTTCTCTTGCCCACCCCACCCATCCACACTCAATTTTTGGATCATATTGTGTAGCTGTCGTGGCTAGGCGTGATGCTTTGAGATTTTCTTAGGTCATATATTTAATTCAAAAATGAATTCAAATCCCGGTAGCCCGAACAATGCCCAAACAATGGAGCATCAATTGCCATGGCTCATCTTGTCTTTTGTTTAAAAGCTAAAGGTTTCCTTCAAGTTGATTTTGAGTCTTGGTGACCACATGTCATGTTCATGGCAGCAATGTAAAATAATTTGCCATTGTTGTCGTCAATGGTTTATTTTTATTTCCCAATCTAGCCTCCTTCGATTTCTTGAGTTTCTCTTATCTAAGTTCTGGGGGAATAACCAAGTTTGGCTAAATGTAGCTATCTGCTTTAGCCAGCTCTTGTTTCGTTTTCCTTTAATTTTTACAGAATGGCCTACAGAGCAAAATTACAATCAGCCAGGTCCAATGTATTTATTTCACATTTGTTTGTTTAACATTTATTCATCAAATTAAAATTTCAAATTCAAACAAACAAAATTTAAAAAAAAATTAAAGTGTGACAGGGACAATAGGCACATTTAGTACACTTATCCACACCCGCTTAAGGACATCTTAAATATGGGGTGAAGTTCACAGAAGTTAAGTTGGAGTTAAAACTATGAGCATTAGTAGCTGAGACATCTGAATTGGGTAGAATATTCCAAACTTTGACAACTCTATTACAAAAATCAATTTTTTACAATCAATTTTAAAATGGTTTACATTTGGTTTAAAGCTATATATTTATTATTTTATTTCCAACATACTTATTTCTATTGCTTTCATCCCTAGCCAGTCTTCCCCAACCTAGTGTTCCTCAAATGTTTGAGGTTGTACCTTCAGAGTTTCTAACCACTAGAAATTCTAGTAGTTGCACATTTAGCATATTGGAAGACCCGAGGCTGGAACAGGATGGTCAAGTTAGATAGAACTGGGAAAAATAAGATACCAATGGTAGGATAACTCCATGCATCCTTTCTATATAAAAAGAAGAAAGTTAAAAGAGGAAAGATGTACTAATAACGTTGCTGTGTTCTGACCAATTCTGTAATCTTTCCTGAAAACTTATTGCAGTGATCTTGAACGGGGACAAAATATAATATAGCGAGTTATTGGGAAGTAGCTGCCTATTCTGTTGATAGGAAGTCTTCCAGTATTGTCCATTTTCATAATGTTAGAGTTATTTTGCTCTGAGTTTAAAGGACTCAGTGAGTAGTTTTGCGTCTGTCCTTTTGAAAGCACAAATCTCAAGGACTTGTCTTCATCTGTTGTTTTTTTAGAACAGTGGTTCTCAACCTGTGGGTCGGGACCCCATTTGGGGTCGAACGACCATTTCACGGGGGTCGCCAAACAACACAGTCTGCCATTTTTTCCCCCTTTTCCTTAGCTGTGCTACTCCCTTTTATTCTATTGGCTTTTGAAAGCCAATAAAATAGACTCTCTTGAATAGAGTCTAATTCTATTGGCTTTCAAAAGCCAATAGGAATTGTCCAGGCTGTCTCTGCCCTGCTGAGCCTGTCAAATGGTGCTGCATCAGTTGAGTAGTCCTCGACTTACGACCAGTTGAGTAGTCCTCAACTTACGACCGGTTGGGGGTCACGGCATTAAAAAGGTTGAGAACCACTGTTTTAGAACATTTACTACTGAGAAGATTCCAGAGTAGTAAAGTGGGCTTTTCTTTTGTAAAACATGAATAAATGAAATTACATAGAACTAATATGTTTATTGTATATGTCTTTTATTTACATCAATAGTGGACAATGTTGTTTGGCCTTTTTCTTTGGGACTATAAAGCAGAGGAAGAGGATAGGGTGGAGGCAGAGATGTCTATTTCTGGCTTTCCCGTTTTTCTTTCTTTCCTGCTCTTTCTACCTTCTTTTTCAAGCAACAGACATAGAAAAGACACAAGAATTCTTACCAGAGCTCTCAAACTCCTACCGAAAAGCTTGGAATTTGCTCAAGAACTAAATTGGCTGAGTGTCCCAGTGTGCTAACTCACCTACCCTTGATTTACAGTACCTTCTTGCTACTCAGAACAAATATTCTCTAGACAGTTGACCATAAAATATAAGTACCATTAGAAAAAGTAAAACACCTCTAATAAAATTTAAATTAAGTTCAAATAGACAGACTAGAACCAAAGGTTAAAAACATAGGTGGATGGAGGCAGTTGCAAATAATAGTTGTGAAAGAACTGAAGAAGTCATAAAAGGTTTTAAGACTGATTAGCTTGGGCATGTGAAAAAGACCTTCAGCTAACTTCCAAAGGTCTGACCATTAATGTTTCATATGATGAAAAAAATGTGTTATATGATCACATACCTCTTCATATTTATTAGTATATTTTTATTCTATTCTTCAATTAAAACTCCAATGTATCCTCCTCCTCCTCCTCCTCCTCCTCCTCCTCCTCCTCCTCCTCCTCCTCCTCCTCCTCCTCCTACTCCTCCTCCTCCTCTTCTTCTTCTTCTTCTTCTTCTTCTTCTTCTTCTTCTTCTTCTTCTTCTTCTTCTTCTTCTTCTTCTTCTTCTTCTTCTTCTTCTTCTCCTTCTCCTTCTCCTCCTCCTCCACCTTCCACCTTCTGCATTTCTTGGAGATTTCTTATCCAACGAAGCCTAAACCATCAAATTTTTTTTTAGCCCAGACAAATTTGGCCAGGTGCCACCATTTCTTGAGACTATTCCCATTCATATTTATCATACGACAATTCCACATATTAGGTCAAAAAATAATACCTGACCTAAGAGAAGCGCATCAATTTCCTGATGGGGCTTCTAATCTAGGATTCATCTGTCTTAATCCAACATATTTAACATTTCAAATTAGCTCTTAAGCAGAACCACACCTAATTCCCACATCACAAATTTGCATTCCCCATTCAACCAGCACAGATAAAGTTGCATGCATATAGATAGCATCGTGATATTTAAAGACCTGGACTTGACTCAAAAGTGTTTTTCCAAAGGGCAACAGGACTTTCTTGTTTTTTTCCTTAAAAACATTTCACTTCTCATTCAAGAAGCTTCTTCAGTTGCTTTTTGGAAGAGCACCTTTGGAACAACCATGACCTGGATGATTGAGAATCTCTATAGGCAGTTAGATGTGGATTTGAGAATACCAGATACCAATTTCCAACAATTGTAGAATCAAGAAGATAAAATTAGAAGGGGAGTATTATAAATGCTGCCTTACAGCACAAATAAGGCAACCCTCTAGAATATATGTGGGTGGAAGGCTCTGTGAGCAACTGATGTATGAATTTCTATCATTTAAATTCCCAGAAGTCTTGTAAAATGACTTAAAGTGAAATGCAGAAGTTTGCCCAAGGCTACATAATGAACATAATATGCTTGGTAGAAGTTTAACCCTTTGTCCCTGTCAGGGACACTCAACATCTCATCCATTGTACCTTTTGGATGTCATTGCTTTTTCTTCATGTTATCTTTCCTTCACATTATGCATGCTTCTTCGTTAAATTTTATGAAACTCACAAAAGAAAGAAAAGCATATTTTCCAGAATATGCATGGGCTGGAAGTAAGAGAGGGTGTGTGTTGGGGGGGGGGTTGCATACAAATTAGAAGGAAATGTTGCTAAAATTAGGGAAAGTATAAAAATGAAGATACGTGAGAGGGAAAAGCAAGGAAATAAGAGCCTGTTCTACAAAATGTTCTGTTGATGTATTTGAAAAAAAAAAAAAAAGAAGAAGCAGAGAGGAAAAGAGTACATTTGGAGAAATGGTGTCAAAGAGACAGGCGGTTTTTGTTTGGACTTCTAAAAATATGTGCATGGATGTGGAAATCTTACAGAATGGAAATAAATTTTTGAAAACGAAAAAAAAATGAACGGAACCAAATTCAATTCTTTGGAAATGAACCTTGTAAATAGATTTTGCACTTTCTTCTCATCTCACAAAATGAGCCGCACCTCTGAAAACGTCTCTATCGTTAAGATAAACATATCAAAGTATCCTGATGGAGTATAGATGGAGGGGAAAAAAATGGAGGTCACAGTAAAGAGATAAACTGAGATAGAGACTAGAAATGTATAGTTGTATATAGGTATATTATATGTAATTAATGTACAATATGGACTGAGATGTCAGTCAAAGACGATTTACCATGTTTTATGTTTTTAATCCTTTTTTTTCTTTGTACTTAATAATTTTTTTTTTTTTAAAGTATCCTGATGGAGTTCTAGCTTCGGTGTGGACCTTCATGGAGAAAGTCAGTTTTGCTACAGAGTAGTGTCTGAATGTCCTTTACACTTAGGGGAAAGGGAAAGGAGACGTTCACTGTACTTCTGTCCGTGTATTTGCATATATAAATTCATTCCCTTTGCATTCCTTCTATCTTTCCTTATGTGACTTCAGGGTGACAAAGCTCTGGTTCCCGATCATTTCAGATCTTGCTTTACAGATGCAGCCAGAAATGTCATTTTAATCTGTTTTAATTGACAGTCTCCTTTTCGACAGTCCGTCGGTATCCCCCTGACGGTTCCCGCCACAGGGCACAAACACATTGGCGCAAAGCAAACTAAATGATATTAGACTTTAATTTCTTAAAAACGGAAGATGTCAAGCCCATTCCCTTTTCTCCCCCTGCAGATTCTTCTTAAAATTCTTCCTCAAGTGCAACCAAAACTGTTTGAAGACTGCCGGAAACCCTAGAGATATGCGACGGTTCCAGGTAAGTGATGTGGGATCCGCTGTTAAGTAAGTAAGTTGTCTGTTTTTTGTGTTTTTTTTTTTCCTGGCAGTATCTCTCCGTTGCTCATCACTGACGCTGCAGGTAATAAATGAGATGACAGTAAATGATAACCCCCATCATAGATTGTGGAAGACTTTTTTTGTTCTCTGTGTTTATCATGTTCAATCCTTGCTTCCTCCCATTGGGGGGGGGAGGAAAATCCTCAAGAGACATCACACCAACTGGAGAGGTGTATTTGATTTGACACTCCAAAGCCAGACGCCCGCATGTAGTAGGGTCTGCTTGAAGGAACCTCAGATCTTTCCACATTTTTTTCAAAATATTATGTGCCAGGGAGTTGTGTACTGCCACAACTCCCACTTTAGGCTTGTTCCCAACTGTAGCTATTCCAGCCACGGTCACTTTAAGAACTCTCCCTAGTGAAAAGCAAGTAGACCCATGGGATGTTGATCCAGCTGCTTTTCAGGAATATCTGCCACCAGTTTCATCATAGCTGACGCTGATGTATTGAAAAATATTGGCTAATAAAAACACGGGAGGAAGTGAAGAGAGGCAAGGTAGACAGGGAAGAGGGTTGAGGGGATGTAAGCATTAAATCTTATTTCTTTTTTTCTCTCTTTGACACCCCTTAATCGTTTAAGGCTGGTGGCACAGATGTAAGACTTTTGTGGTGATTTCTGCCACCCCCTCTCATCTTCTCACTATAAATGGCTCTGAACTCTTTTTGCTGAGTCTGGTTATCATTGCTTGATGCAGATATTCCTCAATTTACAACTCTAATTCAGCCTGGAATTATAGCCAGAAGTTCTGGAGGTTGTTAAGTGGGTTAAGCTCTGACTGCTCCCAATTCCACAACTTTTTTTTTTTTTGCAGTGGTTGTTAAGTGAACATAGTGGTTATTAAGCAAATTTCTTTTCCCCAGTGGGCTTTCTTTTTGTGGGAAACTGGAAGTGAATACACAAAACCCGAAAAATCCGCTCAAAATTGCACAGAAATCTGCAATGTTTATATAGGTCAGTGATATGAAAATTCCTATTAGGCTTGTATAAATCGGTTGTGCCATACTGTACCTCAGCAAAGCACCAGGAAATATCACAATTTGCTTCACTTGCATACAAACACACACAAACATAGATACACACACACAAGCCCTCTTCCAACACTACCAGTTGAGAAAAAGATAAAGAGAACCCAGAATTTCATTCAAGTGAAATATCAGCTCAATGATTTGTGAAGCCCTAATTTTTAAAGCGCCACCCATCTCTCCATAGAAGCTAAATCTGAATAAGTTAGGCAGTTTGTCCTGTTTCCTGGAATTTCATTTTGTTGTGAGGAAAGCAGAAGGGGCCATGCTAGTAGGGCTGTCTAGTACTTTGGATTCAGTTTCCAAATAACTTTGGCACTATGGAATACACCGAGAACATCTTCTGCAGTGCCATAAAGAGACATGTCTTTTCCTGGGTTCATATGGCCTATTTGAAGATAGTGGCCATAGGTTCCTGGTCCGACTATGAATGCGTGTTATAGTCACACCTTCATGGATTTCAAAGGGGCAATTGGGGCAACTGAATCCAAAGCACTATAGAGCAGTGATGGGGAACCTTTTAGAGACCGAGTGCCCCGAAACCGCCCCATCCCCTGGCCCGCCCCCGCTCTGCCCCTGCCCTGCCCACTCTGCCTTGCCCCGCCCCATCCCACCCAATTTTAGGAAATTTCTCCTTAGTTTTAGGTTGGTTCTCTTCTTATAATAATAATAGTAAAGTTGGAAGGGACCTTGGAGGTCATCTAGTCCAACCCCCTGCTCGGGCAGGAAACCCTACACCATTTCGGACAAATGGCTGTCCAGTCTCTTCTTAAAAACTTCCAGTGTTGGAGCATTTACTGCTTCTGGAGGCAAGCTGTTCCACTGATTAATTGCTCTAACTGTCAGGAAGTTTCTCCTTAGTTCTAGGTTGCTTCTCTCCTTGATTAGTTTCCACCCGTTGCTTCTTGTCCTGCCTTCAGGTGCCTTGGAGAATAGCTTAATTCCCTCTTCTTTATGGCAGCCCCTCTGACACTGGAACACTGCTATCATGTCCCCCCTTGTCCTTCTCTTCGTTAAACTAGACATACCCAATTCTAGCAACCGTTCCTTATATGTTTTAGCCTCCAGTCCCCTCTTGACTGATTTCCATCCATTGCTTCTTCTCTTGACTTCAGATGCTTTGAAGAATAGGTTGACTCCCTCTTCCTTGTGGCAGCCCTTCAATATTGGAACACTGTTATCATGTCAGCCCCAGTTCTTCTTTTCATTAAATTAGACAATTAGAAATTCATTAAATTTCCTGTAAGAACTTCCCTTTTCCTTTAAGAATTTCCCGTAATTCTGCTAACATCTCCTTCTTCTCCATGGGTGCTATGATTCTGACTACATAACAGTTTGCACTTTATTCTTCAGTATAAAGTGAACAAATGTTAAACAGCTTTTAATCTGAAGATCTGAAAGGTACCACACAGCCTTTCACACAGGGTCAAGTGTTTTTAACATGACCACTACCCCGAAGGATTGTTATGCCTTCTGCAATCTAAAATATGCACCTTCTGTTACCTTTCATCCCAGGACCTGCTCTCAGCATCAACAAAAACAAGTTGTTTAATGGTTTTGTTGAGGCCACTTGTCAATCCAAGAAATGAAATAATGCAGAACGGATACAAGATACAGTTTGCATCAGAGCAGAAAAGGGGGATAAATGGTCATATAGCTTAGAAAAGGGATAGGGAACCTTGGCTCTTTTATGACTTGTGGACTTCATTACCCAGAATTCCTGAACTAGCCATGGTGAATTCTGGAAGTTGAAGTCCACAAGTCACAAAAGAGCCTAGAACTAAGGAGAAACTTCCTGACAGTTAGAACAATTAACCAATTCACCACTCCAGAAGTGGTGAATGCTCCAACACTGGAAGTTTTAAAGAAGAAAGTGGACAGCCATTTATCCAAAATGGTAAAGGGTTACCTGCCTGAGCAGGGGGTTGGACTTGATGACCTCCAAAGTCCCTTCCAACTTTATTATTATTATTATTATTATTATTATTATTATTATTATTATTATTATTATTATTATTATTATTATCTTCACATTCCACACTCCCTTAGTAGAGGCTATGTATTCCAAAGATGTCCCTACTTTCTTGCATTGGGATATTCAGATTGGTTCCCTTGTTAGTTTTTTGTTTTTTCAATATACTTACTCCATCCCCAACTGCTTAGCTTTGGCCAAGGGTCTACATCCTATACTTTCAGTCCCTGAGACCATCTGCTTTGCATACATCTCAGCAGTCAGATAGGAAATTGCTGAAACTGAAATCAATTTGTAAACAAATTTTAGAAAAGGCGAAAATGTTCAGCCTTTGACCCAGAACTTAATAGGAGCCAGAACATGGAATAGCCTTTAATTGCTAAATGAAATAAGAAGGAAAAGAAAAAGTCTTTTTGAACAATTTTTAAATATTTATATTGGGATGGGCAAACCACAGCCTATCAGCAGTATACAATTTCCAGCATCCTGGGTTTACCCAAATTTGTGACAAAATGATTGCTTTCTCTGGTAGAGATTTGGTTTTAAAGAGTAGAAATGAGAAAAAATTTCATCTGCCAGTCTTCTACTTTCCAGATATTTTCTTGTTTCTTCTAAGAATATCACAGCATTACTCATCACTCATGAGATTCTTCAAGAGGTTAAGAGGCGATGTTACACTCCTAACCTCTTAAACATGGTCCCATCTTTTCAATATAATAAACTTTGTGCTTTTATCATACCATTGCATTCCACAAGCCCTAGGACATAATTTAGTTGGATTTGGAGCAAATGAATTTTTGACAAAACTGAGTTGGATCCAAATCCTAGTATAAAACATACCAACTACTATATGTTTTTAGATTCAGAGTTTTTGCCATGCCTTTTTATAGCGTCCTCTGAAAGGACAATTTGTCTGCAGGGGGAAAAAAAAGGTTGACATATATGAAGAAGAAACACAGCTTTCCACCTTTCCCAGCACACATCATGATTGTGAATAAAGTTCATAATCCAGAAAGCTTCCTGGATTCTGGAGAAAGAATGCCGTAATGAACGTGTACTCCCGGGTATCATAAATATGTAAATCTGAATATTCCTAACAGGTAGGGTTGGAGGGATGAGAAGACCTAGATGAGACAATAGTGTCATCTAGATTGGGGGCAGGTACAGTATATTTCTTGCGGTCCTAGCACTTAGAAATCCGTACATAACTTTATAGTGCAAAGATCTCGTGTTAGAAGGAAGAAAGTCAGGGGGATTGTATCTCATAGAAGATAAAGAGGGAGTCCCAGCTCTGAAAACGGTTGATATCCCAACTTTAACTCTCTACTCAATATAGAATAATGAAATAATTGACTGAAAGTAGCTAGTATCCAGGAGGATGCTGAGAATTGCAACAGTAATTGTGGATTAAATTGTGTCCCTAGTTTTAGCTCTCATACACTGGGAGGAATCCATAACATTGGCTGAGATCCTATAAAGCATAAGGCTTACATGTCATGAGTTCACAGTTCAGAATCTAATACAAAGACAAGTATTTTGTGCACACGTCTTCCAGGATGTAAAAATTTGATTCAACAGGGGCTAAAATACGGCACTTGAAAAAATGAGAAGGAAAACGCCAGTATTAATTTTTTTTAAAGATAGCTGGGTTCCCTGATATGGGACGAAGTAAAGTGCCATCAGAATTTGAAATGAACCTATTGTCCATCAGATTCTACCAAAAACTACTTTGCTCATGGGCCTTCCAAAATCTTACAGCACCTCATTTTTTTTTTACATGAGCCAATCATTTCCTTTTATTATAATCCTTACTGAATCTTGTCCACAACTAATAAATTACTACTCTCAGATTTGGGAGGAACTGGAATTATATCTAGTCAGGCCTTTGAATTCCATTCTCTTTTGACCATGGTTTAACCTCAC